AGGCCACTTTGTCCATTTGTGAAGTGTGGATTTGGACAAGAGATCTCTCCAACATCTTCGTTTTTCACAATTAGTTTCAAAAGTATGTCTTGGGCTAGGTGCTGGTGGCTCACGCCTGTAAGCCTAGCTACTCAAGAGGCTGAGATATCAGGATCATGGTTCAAAGCCAGCCAGGGCAGAAAAAATCCATGAGAGTCCTATATCTAATTAGCCACCTGAAAACCGGAAGTAAAGCTATGGCTCAAATTAGTAGGGTGTTAGCCTTGAGCAAAAGAGCTCAAGGACAGCACTCAAGCCCTGAGTTAACCCCATAACTGACAAACAAAACAAAATATAAAAGGTATGTCTTGGGTTGGGAATGTAGCTGAGTGGCAAAGTATTTGCTTGGCATGAGCAAGACCTGTTTTCAAGTGTCAGCACTGCAAACATTGCTCCTTTTCTCAATGGGGCAATCCTCATTTCCTTTCCTTTCCCTTCTCTTTTCTCTCCCTCATCCCTAGTCTCTCTCTTTTGGAGCAGCTACTGGGGCTTGAACTCAGGGAGGACCTATCTCCTAGCTTTTTTGATCAAGGCTAGTGCACTATCACAGCACTACAGCTCTACTTTTTGGTGACAAATTGGAGATAGGAGTCTCAGGGATATTTCTGCATCTGTTAGCCTTTTTTTTTAAGTTTTTATTTTTTTGTATTTATATAGTTGACATTATGTTGGCTTTGAACCATGATCCTAGATCTCAGTCTTTTCGTTAGTTAGGATTACAGACATGAGCCACTGGAACCCAACACCCTAATTCTTAACATAGTGTGGAAATATCAACTGTTTTGCCTTTAAACACTCTTTCTTTTTTAAGTTTCAAGGGTTAGAACTTCATTAGTTTCAGAGAATTGAGAAGCAAACTCTTAAGTTCACCCTATACATCAGAGTTTACCATGATTTTGCACAGGTGAAATCAGAGCCCTTCTTCTCCACCTTCACACCAATCTGCTGAATGCCTCACCTTCTCCTAGCCACCTCCTGTATTTATTCCGAGACTATTGTGAACTTATCCCTTAACCTGAAGTGCAAGTGGCAAGCTTCCTTACATAGATAAGAAAAAGATAACTGCTTCATTTTCCAAATCTCTTCCTAATAATAGGATTTCATTGACACTTTTTTTTTTTTGCAGTACTGAAGTTTGAACTCAGTCTTGTGTTTGCTTGGCTTCCTTTTGCTTGGCTGGCACTCTACCATATGAGCCAAGCCTCCAGACTAGCTTTTTGCTGGTTATTTTGGAGATAGTCCAGGTAGAGCTTGTACCTAGATCTTCTAGATCTACTGAGTGGTTCTTTGAGTTAAAAAAGTTATTATAAAGGTAATGTGCAGAGGGGTTACAGTTACATAAGTCAGGTAATGAGTACTTTTCTTTTTGGACAATGTCCCCCCCCCCTTGCTCTCTCTCAGTTTTTCCCCCTCATTCCTACCCATAAGTTGTATAGTTTATTTTCTTCTTTTTTGGGGGGGTCTGGTCGTGGACCTGAACTCTGGGCCTGGGCGCTGTCCCTCAGCTCTTCAGCTCAAGGCTAGCGCTCTACCACTTGAGCCACAGTGCCACTTCCGGCTTTTTTTTTTCTGCTTATGTGGTGCTGAGGAATTGAACCCAGGGCCTCATGCATGCAAGGCAAGCGCTCTACCACTGAGCCACCTTCCCAGCCCTGTATAGTTTCTTTTCTTTTTTTTAGTGTGAAAATACTGTACAGAGGGGTTGCAATGAGTACATTTCTTATCAAGCATTGTAGCCTCCTCCTTTGTTTCACCTTCCCATCCCCCCCCCAGTATAGTTTATTTTCAACATAGTGTTCAGTCCTTTGATTTTTAAAAATCATTTTAAATTCAAAAGCCATACAGGCTTTTTTTTTTTTTTTTGGTCAGTCATGGGGCTTGAACTCTGGGCCTGGGCACTGTCCCTCAGCTCTTCAGCTCAAGGCAAGCACTCTACTACTTGAGTCACAGCTCCACTTCCCATTTTCTAGTGGTTAATTGAAGCTAAGAATCTCTCAGATGTTCTTTATGGGCTGGCATTGAACTGTGATCCTCAAATCTTAGTCTCTCAATTAACTAGGATTACAGACGTGAGCCACCTGTGCCCAGCTATCACAGGCTATTTTTAAATTTACCACATCATAAAAGAACTAGCTTCTTGTCATCATATTTCCAAGAAATAATAATTTGGTGTACATTACTTCATACATCTTCCTATGCATGAGACTCTAGGTCTTTGAAAAAAAATGGATTGATGAGGTTATATTTACAGCCTCTGTTTTTCCCTTATCAACATATGGGATTTTATGGTTATTGTATGGTTATTATAGTTGTATTTATCAATGAATTATAGTTAGCAAAGTTTCTTTTTTTTTTCCCAGGGCTGAGGACCGAACCCACGGCCTTGCGCGTGCCGGGCGGGCGCCCTTCTGCTGGGCTAAACCCCCAGCCCCTTGCAAAGTTTCTTAAAGGCAGATTTTCTTGTTTGTAAAATACATCATTGACTCAATCTTTGAATGCTTGCATTGTAATAACCTTGCAACCATCCATTTTTCCTTTGAATTTAGTTGGAGTGTGTTTGTTTACACTGCTAGTTGTATCTCACATTACTCTGCATTTCACCCCATCTATTCATTCAAGGTAGAGTTTCATTATGTAGCCCAATTTAGCTTCTGACTTTCAATCTCTTGCCTCAGCCTCCTGAGAGCTGGTAAGACAGGCTTGTATCAGGTCTGGCACACTATTTAATAACTTGGTCCTAGTTATTTTAAGAGAGCAAGTTGGAAGGAAATCTCCTATCTGATTCAGTAAATAGAAGAACATTAATTAATTGGCTCTATTACTATGTTTCCACTGGTGAATAGTTCCCAACAGTATTTCTTTGCCAGGATGCATAAATAATGCAAAGTGATATAAGTAGAATTTGATATTCCTTTTTTGAGTACTATGCTTGGTTTTATCTGTGTACAAAAAATTTCCAGTTGGATAACAGATTTTTCATCTCAAACTTAGTGGTTTTTTAAAAAAAATGAAATGATCAATTTCAGGAAATGATCAGTTCACTCATACTTTGTTATGTTTCTTGTCTGCATTTAGACTTACATTTATAAAGCAAGTGGGGTGGTGGTGTAGCTCAAGTGGTTAAGTGCTTGCCTAGTAACCCTAAGGCCCTGAGTTCAATCTCCAGTACCAAAAAAATAATAATAATAAAGCAATGTTAGCAAAAATATCATGCAGTTGTCTATTAATGATTTAGGAAAGCTTTAATCCAAATTACTATTTTTATACCACTCTTAAATTAACTCATACTAATTTGCCATCCAACTTGAAAATACATTCTAATCTTATCTGATGAGCCAAAGGTAATTAAAACCCAAATTCTGCTTTTCTAATTTTAATATGTAAATTGATTGTACATATTTTTATCAAATTTGAACCCTGCATATCAATTTTAATGCTTAAATCCCTGAATAACACAGAAAATAATTTTATGTGCAGAGGCTACACTAGTGTGGACAAGTGGACAACAGCCAAGAGTCAAGGCGGTGGACAAGAATAAAAGTAGGTGTCTGTGTTAAAACAAGAGCTGGGGCTGAGAAGGTGGCTCAGTGGTAGAGTGCTTGCCTCCCATGCATGAAGCGCTGAGTTCGAAGTTGACTCAAGTGGTAGGGCTAGACACCACCCAGGCCTAGAGTTCAGCCCCATGACTGACCAAAAACAAACAAACAAACAAACACAAGAGCACTTTATGTCACATTTATGTTTCTATGTAGCTGCCACTAATAGGCAAGTTATGGGTATACACTGCACTATGTTGTTAGCCTATTTAAATTTTTTCCTGGTTATTAAAAAATACATTTTTTGGGCATTGGACTGTATAGTTTCCATTTATGTCTTCCTTATTATTAACCAATTATTATACTTGAGTAAATATTGATAGTAATCAAAGTCCACAATTTATCCAGGTTTCCTTTGTTTTTACTGAATGTCCTTTTCCTGTTCCCTGGTCCCACACAGGATATCAGGTTACATTGACTCACAATGTCTCATTACACTTGTACTGGAGTGTGGCAGTTCATTGATCTTGAGGTTTTTTTGTTGGCACTGGGATATGAACTCAGGCTATCATGCTTGCTAGGTAAATGCTTTACCACTTGGGCCACACCATCAATCCTTTTTTTTTTTTTGTCTGTCATGGGGCTTGAACTCTAGGCTTGGGCGCTGTCCCTGCACTCTTCAGCTCAAGGCAAGTGCTCTACCACTTGAGCACAGCACCACTTCCAGTTTTCTAGTGGTTTACTGAAGAGTCTCACGGACTTTCCTGACCAGGCTGGCTTTGAACAGCAATCCTCAGATCTCAGCCTCCTGAGCAGCTATGAGCCACTAGTGCCCGGCTCCATCAATCCTTTTGCTTTAGTTTTTTTTTTTTTTGTCAGTTGTGGGGCCTGAACTCTGGGCCTGAGTGCTGTCCCTCAGCTCTTCAGCTCAAGGCTAGTGCTCTACCACTTGAGCCACAGCGCCACTGCTGGTTTTCTAGTGGTTTTTATTGGAGATAAAGAGTCTCATGGACTTTCCTGCCAGGGCTGGCTTTGAACCATGATCCTCAGATCTCAGTCTCCTGAGTAGCTAGGATTACAGGTGTAAGCCACTGGTGCCCAGCTTGCTTTAGTTATTTTTCAGATAGATTTCTATCCAGATTTTGCTAGGGCAAGCCTCAGACTGTGATCCTGCTACCTGCACCTCCCTTGTAGCTAAGATTACAAGCCTGTATGTTCACAACTGGCTTGTTGAGATTGGGTCTTATCCAGACTGGCTTCAAATGGAGATTTTCTTGATTTCCTCCCAAATAGTTGAGATTACAGGTGTAGCCTACTCCTTGACAGCACTGAAAGATACTACCAAATGGTTTGTACAATGATCTTTTTGGAATTTGCTCACTGTTAGACTAAGATATGAGTTTTGGAAGGAAGAGCAGCTCAGTGTAATCATCCCAAGAGGAATTTATTACCTACAGATTCAACACACATCTAGACTTCAAACTATTACCATAGATATAATTCATATACTATGTCAAGCATTATGTCTCTGTATGATTACAAAGCAGAATAATAAAGTTTGGCTTTGTAAAAACAAAACTTAGAGGTAGATAACATTATATAGACAGAGAACCACTTTAAGTCACTTCCCTATGGAAGCATTTTTTTTTACAAAAATTACGGACAGTCTGATGAACATGGATAAATAACATATATACCTAAACTTCATAGATCTTCACAGAGGTAAAATGTGGGATTTATGTCAATATGTATGGTACATAAGCATATCTGTTTTCAAAGCAGTCACATTTTTATCTACCAAAATAGTAACCAAGCATTGCGCAGGATTCTCTAGCTTATAGGGCAAAAATAGCATATTAAATCTGTACAAAATATATAGCAGGTAATTCTTCCTGAAGCATTCTCTCCTTTCAGTGGTTCTTTTTTTTTTCTTTTTTCATTGTGAAAAATCTTTCAGTGGTTCTTTCCTTCACAGTGATTAACTTGGGTGAGGACCAAGTCTACCCAAGTGCTTGTTCAAAAACAATGCCTGGTGCTGTCCTCAACTTTTCTGATTTAGGGGTATAGGCTGGGGCCTGACTGTCCATGAACTCAAAAGTTCTGAGGTACTGCCATCACCACTGCTGGCCAGACGTGCATCAGCAGACACTGTTCCACTCCAACTTGGAAACTGCATGTGTGCAGGGCAGGGCCTATGATGAGTAAGGCGCATGTACACTACCCTTATCGGCTAGACAGAACCTGATCAGATAAGCATAACTGTCCTTTTATTAGTGGAGAAACCTAGGAGTCCAGGTATTGAGGAATTCTCTTGAGAAAACAAGGAAGTAAGCAACACAACTGCAAATCTAGTCAATATAAGTTACTACCTGATTAAAGGAGTGAAAGGTATGCATCGTGACATGCTCATTTGAATGTACCTGAAGATCAGTACCTTTTCAGTTCAGTGGAGTTTTAACTAAAGGTAATGGTGAGGACAAGTATCAGGCTAATGGGGAGGACTTGCTTATCCTTGAACTTCTAAAATAGTCAAAGGCAAAGTGAACGTCCTCTATAAATTAAGATGGGAAGAATATTTAATATGTTATGAATATTCCTTAATTACTAGTATTTTATTATTCCTTATAGAAAATACATATTTAAATAGAAGTCCTTCAAAGAATAATCTCATTTAAATTTAAAGTATCTTACTATATCATCAATCAGCCACTGCTTGCTCTTACAATGACTAAAACACTTATCTTCTTCAACAAAGCAAGTCAAAAGCAGCCACACACCACAAAGGAATAGGCAATCAAAGTATTAAGAAAAGTGGTACATGAGTACAGTAAAAAGACCAAAATGAAATTGCTAATAAATTTTGTTGTTTTGTTATACTGTGTATAAAAATGGACAAGGAGACAAAAAGTATCAAACTGCAGACTTAAATACACTTAGATGTCTAAAGTTCAAAGTGTTATTAAAAACAACTCAATTTTACATCTCTATCAAAACAAACATTTTATATATAAGAAAAGATTCCCTTTAAATACTGATATACATGTTGTCACTAAATACTGTTAATCACTCATAGTTACATTTATTTAAATAGGAATTAAATAAATTGCCCACAATGCAGATTTTCATATCATAAAGCATAAGTATTTCAAATTAAAACTTCTGAGTTGTACATTGTATATAATGGTTCCTTTGACAATATTAACAAGCAAGTTTTAAAGAATATATTTTTATCTATAGCCAGGTAAAGTTTTATTAACTGGGAAATACTTGTAACAGTGAAGAAATACAAGTTTCAAAAACAAATCTATTTAGAAGATCTGCTGTTCAAACAGTATTTTTTCAAAACCTGGTGGAGGAGTATGATAAAATTCACTGAATTGACAATCCAAAATTGCACTGTCATCAACTAGAGGACAGAAAGAGAGAAAATGAATTAGAAAAGCAGTTGAATAAAAACTAGAAGATGAACTGTTTTCAAGCTGCAGCTATATCTCCATATTAGAGTACTTGGCTCAGCATGTGTGAGGCCTTGGGCTCCATTACCAGTACCAGAAAAAAACATTAGAAAATAAAGATTAAAAATAATGTTTTCCCAATATTATAATATTAATAGGCAATGCAAAAAAATACATCTTCTGTAAGTCACAAACCTATTATGTAAAAATAGTCACAATAAAAAGCAAAATCTTTCAAAAATACTGGGAGAAACTGGGTACTAGTGGCTCATACCTGTACTCCTAGCTTCTCAGGAGGCTGATATCTGAGAATCATAGTTCAAAGCCAGCTCAGGAAAGAAAGTCTGCGAGACTCTTATCTCCAATTAGCCACCAGAAAACTGGAAGTGGCGCTGTGGCTCAAGTGGTAGAGCCCTTGCCTTGAGCTGAAGAGCTCAAGCCCAGGCCCAGAGTTCAAGCCCTATGACCACCACCACCACCATCACCACCAACAATAAAGAAATACTGGAAGAATATATATCAATATTATTAATAATTATCCCAAGATGGGGTGAATATGGGTAATTTGAATTTTTTTTTTGTCAGTTGTGGGGCCTGAACTCTGGGCCTGGGCGCTGTCCCTCAGCACTTCAGCTCAAGGCTAGCGCTCTACCACTTGAGCCACAGCACCACTTCCAGCTTTTTTTTTTTTCTGCTTATGTGGTGCTGAGGAATCAAACCCAGGGCCTCAGGCATGCAAAGCAAGCGCTCTACCACTGAGCCCCCTTCCCAGCCCTAAATTTTTTTGTTACCTGCCTATCTGTATTTTTTTATTTTCATATAATTAAGATGTTTTATTTAGGAAAATGACTCATTAGTGGTAAGTTGCAAAAATATTACAAGAAGTCCTATGTATCCCTTACCCAGCTTGTCTCAGTGAAAAAGAAGACAGAGATCTTAATTTTTTTCAGCAATAAAGTATTTGTAATGCCTGGCAATTCCCGCAAGGAGGGGAGGCAAATGACAGAAGTGTTGGTGGGGATAAGGTGGCAAAGGAGCCTAGAATGGCTCCAAGTTGATTGTTTGAAGCTGAGTGATGAGTACATGAGGTTCCATGATAGTGTGCTCTCCTCTACATGTCTGAAATTTACTATAATAAAAATGAAAATAATAAAAGATGGACAAAGTCACCTCCCAAGTAATCTAATTCTTTTGTATGTGTAGGTGTGTGTATATGTGTCTGTCTGTCTGTCTGTTGGTCCTGGGAATTGAACTTAGGAACTGGGTGCTGTCCCTGAGCTTTTTTGCTCAAAGTTATCATTCTACTACTTAAGCCATAGCTTCATTTCTGGCTTTCTGGGTAGTTAAGTGGAAATAAGAGTCTCATGAGGGGCTGGGAAGGTGGCTCAGTGGTAGAGCACTTGCCTTGCATGCCTGAGGCCTTGGGTTCGATTCCTCAGCACCACATAAGCAAAAAGAAAAACCCCAAAAACCTGGAAGTGGCGCTGTGGCCCAAGTGGTAGAGCGCTAGCCTTGAGCTGAAGAGCTGAGGGACAGCGCCCAGGCCCAGAGTTCAGGCCCCATGACCAACCAAAAAAAGAAAAAAAAAATTGGGCTGGAGATACAGCTTAGTATTAGAGTGCTTGCCTAGCCTGTGTGAAGTCCTGGGTTTGA